AATCAGAGAAAGAAACCAGTAATGATATCGCCAAAGCTCATAAAGCTGACTGAGCAGATGTAAAAGTTGTATCAGACAGCACTGAGGAGGATTTCACAGACACCTGTGTTACACAAGCTGAACGAAGGGTCTTGACATGTTCCAGTATGGATCTCTTGCTTCCAAAGAAGCCACAGAATGCTGGGTTTTATGCTTTCAATTATGAAGGAACTAGGAAATTTAACACAGTAATTGCCCGTGCAAAGGACTGCAGCATGGCTGTGACTTTAAACTGCCAAATCCATCACCAGCACAGGCAGGGTGAAATCTTACATCTTGTGCTTCAATGCCAAGCTACCCTGCGGCACACATCGAGCCTTATCCAGCACGCATCTTCCTAAACTTTCTTACATTGAGCTGGAGGAGCCCTACTGTGTCTTGTTGGGCTACAAGAAAAGCTGGGCATGGACAGAGATGTAGGAGGTATGGACTAAAGCACCCTCCCACATGGTTTCCAGTGAGATCTGCTTTGGGTAAATCCAAGGTTACCAAACTTGTCTTTGAATCAGGATCATATCAGCCTGCACTAGAAATGATCTGAAACCATTGTGGCCACAGCTGGGACTGCCTGCTAAACATGAAGCAAAGCATTTAGTTTCACTCCCTGGCAACCTCCATTGAAGGTGTACTCTGAAATAAAGCATGAGAGCATCAGCCACCCTTACAGAGGTTCAGCAAGGAAATTGCATGGACACTTAGCTCTAGGCCTTGACTCCTGTAACATTGCTCACAGAATATGAAAGCCATACTTGGCCACTCAAGTGGAAAGCTCATGAAGGCTCACTTCTCAAACTGTTCTAGCTAAATCCACAAGGTCAATGCCTTTATGGTCTCTTATTTGGGCCAAGCATTAAAAATCTTTTAATACTTGTAAGCTCTCCTGAGTATGATATCCTGGTCTTAACAATCTGAAACACATGCAGTTCAAAACTTAAGCAACTACCCAGCAACATTAAAAAGTTTATGGTCTTTTATTTGGGCCAAGCATGACCGTACCCAGTCAGCAGGCATGGCATGGTAGTTGAGCCTTACATGAAAAATGTGACTGAACTAAGCAAAAGATGGTTCACTAAGAAAAGCTTATTTAAAAATAAGCCACAGTCGGGAAGGTCCTACAGCAAATGCACCTCTGATCAGTTTTCAAGGAGACTGTGAATATTCCTTCACAAATCTAAAGTGCCCTAATAAATTCTAGTCTTAATTTCTAGTTTTTATTATTAAATGAAGGAGAAAAATAAAGGAAAGCAGTGTAATAAGATGAATATGCACACAACAACTGGCAGGGTAGAATTTATTTCTGTTTTAATCGATTCAGCATCAAATGACCATTCCCTTGGAATACCTTCAGAGAAGCAAACAGGCAGCAAACACAAGGATTTGACACCACAGCAATCTGCTGATTGTCACTTGGATATTCATAAGGAACAAATCTCTCCCCCCTTTAGATTTTATATCATTTGTTATAAGAAGTCATAAATAATTGAAAGTCACATGATAAATTATTCAGCTAAGCGCACAGTTTCCAAGGAATCCTAGCATGAGTCTGGATTAAAGCTATAATGCAAGTCAGATGCAGAAGTAGAGCTGACACCCCACAGTTACCACACAGTGGAGCAGTCCAGGGAGTTTGGCACTTGTCAGCGTGTCCTTTCCACCCAGGGACACGTAAATACCTTGTGAATATTTATGAACTAAAGTCCCTATTGCCTACTGTGTACTTCAGCTGCTTGCCTATACATGGTTATGAATCAGTGGCACTTAACCCAGAGCTTCCCTTGGCACAATTGATTAGGACATTAATTTTCTTTAAGTGATGGCACTGTCCTTCAAGACTACTGCTGAATTTATCTCTGCTGTAAAAGACTTTAACTGTAATTACCTGTTATCATTAACTGAGAAGATATTCAGTGGGACTAGCATAGAAGTGACTGCAGGAATATTACTTAGTTGTAAAAATGCTGGTACAATCCTGCTACTTTCTTTACACCAACCAAGTTATCTGCTTTGGGTAGGTCTAGGTCCATAATGTCCAGGAACAAATAAATATCAAATAATCCACAAAGTAAGACATCCTGTGCAAATCGTAACAAAGAAGCTTGCTTTCATACAGATGTGTCTCTTGTGCTGAACCAACTTTAGGGTCTAAGATATGAATTCTGATTCCAGCTTCTTCCAAAAGAAGGGGGGAAATTGATACTCTCTCTCCAGTATAGATTGTTTAGTATATGAGAAACTTCGTTCATAGTGAAGAACCTCCCAGGTTCTGACCTTTCTCTCTATAAGGGCATTCTTTTTGTTCTCTACTCTGCTGCTTTCACATAAATTGCAGGGACTTCTATCTGAGATATTTAACCCTCTGTCATACTCGATGACAATCATACAACAGGATCTAAGGATCTAAAGTTCTTACACCAGAAAATAAAATTTACCAAAAAAAAAAAAAAAAAAAAAAAAAAAAAAAAAAAAAAANAAAAAAAGAAAAAAAAAAGGAAAGAAAAGGAAGAAATTAGAAAGGCAACAGGCAAGGAATGTGCAAAGAACTGGAGAGAAGCATGAAGCTGGCATGTACTTCTTAGAAAGGCAGGCACTGCTGGCCTGAGCAGCCCTGAAAGTTTTATGTGAAATAAATCTGTTAATTTGAAGTATGCCTCAAATAATCAACTCTCTCTCCTTCCCAGCTGAAGCAACTCTGTGCATAACACTTCACTCACTACAGGTATGATCCTTGAGAGGTAACAAAATACAAAGCACAACCTAAAAGTGTTTCTAGAATCCGAAGTTTTGCTGAGCATACTTGAAATTACATGAGAATCACTCTTAGCTTCTGCATTAACTCATTTTGTAGACATTGCACTAATGAAAAATCGAGAAAGAGATCTCTGAACAGTTTCTGTATCAATATGTTATTTTTCTTGGGAATTTGTATTCCTGCGACTTATTCTTATGTTTTTTCACAGTCCTTTAGACTATAGCAGTTTTCAAGAAATTACCTGTGGCTGAGTTTACACTCTACATAACATTTGTCTCAGCGTGCTCTAGATCATCTGTGAAACAATAAACATAGAATTCTAATTCTGCTGAGGTCAGTTGTGTTGTTTGTGGGGTTTTTTTTCAATCAAAGTGCCTTCAGAGCTGTATTAAGATCATTCTTTTGAATCACATAAATTTTTATTCAAATATATACATAACAGAAGTATCAACCAGTAGGTTCCATATGAAATTAGTTGAAAGCAGTATTGAAAATGCATATTTTATCACCTTAAGAAACCAGTATTTCTAAATCCTACACTCTATATCATTATGCTACCTGTGTTTTCGTGCTCAACTAGGATAGTATTTTTGTCGTCCATTAGCATATAAGTGGTAGAAATTCGGGGGCATGCCCTCGTCGATTTACGCTTGAGGCATGGAAGGAATGAACTGTGATAGGAGAGCACCCCCTCGTGATGGAAGTCTTAAACACAGCACTGAACATCTTGGAGCACTTGGACTGGTTAAATACTGGTGTATTTCTATTGTACTGTGGTCATAAAAAGAGACTGATAAAAAAAATTAAAAACAAAAATATGTCATTTGATATTCAGTCTCTGTCCTGAGAACACACTCAGGCTCATCCCTAACAGAACACAGGCATGAAATGCTGCAGGCAGGGAATGTTTGATCAAGGCAGTCACTCAAAGTTCTTAAGAAAAAAAGTAAAAATAATCACTTAAAAGCTTAAGACATGCTCCTTGTTTTTGAGGTTTGGCAGGTTGTGCTATAGTAGCAAATGTGTGAGACCCACATTTCACTATACTGTTAATATTCTAAGAGTGAGTTTAGTAACAGCTGAGTTCTGAAGCATCTTAGAAGCTCAGGTAGTTCCTGTCACCCCATGTGCATGATAGACTCTCTTAACATAAAAATAAAATGAAAAATACTGCTTATTGGTTTTAATGAAATATTTCATAACAGAACTTTTTCTTTACAAAAGCGTAGCTAAGGCTATGAGAGAGTCAAAACCGCTTAAGCCATGTGAAAAAAGATAAGAGCTTAGTGGACCCTAAGCCTAATCCAAGGACCTGATAAGATGTAAATTGGTATAGAAGGAAAACAATTGACAGAATTATGTCTTGGTTGCACACTTATTAAAGCAATATTGCCAATAATCTGTAGCCATAAGTAGCAAAAGTGAGGTACAAATGAATCAGAAAAAGCTCTTTAATCGTGTAAGTACTCATTAATGTTCCATCAATAACGACCAATAGACACCCTTATTTCAAAGAATTATGCGTTTCTGGCTGACGACAAACTTGATGTTTCTGACTTCAGACAAAGAGCCTTACAAATATTTTTGGATAAAACAAAAACATTTATAGTTAGATTTCACTTGGTGTAAGTATCAAGGTAGACAAATATAGTTCTACATGTCAGGAAGCCCAGCAACAAACCCAACATCAAACCCACATACAGGCATGTCAACACTCTGAAAATGTTCTTTTGTCACTGTGGCTTCAGGGTCTCAAAGAGTTTATCAATAAAACTCATGAGACTTGCCCAAATGCAGGCAGGCTAAAAAAAGAATCAAGATTTGCTGGTAATTAAAAAAAATTCAAACCTTCTACCAGTTAGGTATACAGTAAATAGAAAGGTGTTTACTGGAATTCCTGTAACTCTTCCTTCTCAGGTTTCATTTAGACAACTCAGTTATAAAAATTAGGTCATCAATACTCTACAGGTTTTTTGAGACCTCTCCAATAATCTGAGTCTTTAGAGTAATATAGAATCAATTCCTGAAGGTATCCAATTAAATGTTATCAAAACAAGTCTGCTTCTACCTTACATCCTCACTAAAATTAGACAGTTAAGGTTGCAACATAACACCAAACTGAGAGATGAGACACAAATACAAAGAAAATATCTACAATGCAAGAAATACGTTCCAAACATTTTTATTTAAAGCATGTGAAGGATTTACTTACAATTCTTCTCCTTGTTTTGCTTTTCTGTCATTAACCAAATACACATTTCCAAAGCTCCCATTGCCAAGTTTCCTCTGAATAGTGTATCTTCTTGCAATCATGGCATCTGAGCAAGCAGAATTAAATCTGGCAACAGTGACATGCTTAGCAGTTTCTTGAAATTTCAGCATGTCTTTATGCAAAAAAACTACACCAATTTCTCAAGAACGCAGCTTTCAAATCCTTTTATTCTTCCACGGATGGTCACAGAAATCACTTGAAACAGAAAAATATTGATTTGTCAATGTATTACTCTTATTAAAATTCTCATTTAATTCTGTACCAGTGTTTACAGTACCCAGCTTGCAGCAAACACAAATTAAGTGGAATCATTAGCTGCTAAACTGCAGGCAGCAGACTTGATAAACAAACTCCAGATAATGTAGATGTGATATAGCCAGTCTTCCTCTAAATCAATCTTAAATTAATTCACTGAACTGATAGCACAGCTCCCCTAGATATGGCATTCTTCCTCACCACCTGTCTTTACGCCACCAAAAATATCTGCATTTCAGCGTACTAATTTCAAGATTTTTGTACATATTGATGCATAACCTCTACCCATAATTTGAGTTCTCTCCCATCTCTGTTTTCTCTGCTCTTTCATTTACCCCTCAGATTTCACCATCTGTTCCAGTGCTGACCTCAAAGCTTCACTGTGACTCACTACTAGTATCTTCTGGGAAATAGTTTCATAGAAAATCTGCAAGATTTTCAATAAAACCCAACTCTCCCTAAAGATCGTTTCTCCTTCACTGTGTCCTTTCATAACTCACCTTTTCAACCTTTCCAACAAGTTAGCTTTGGTTGGGAATTCTTGTCTAACTGAGATCCTAACTCTGCAAACATAAGTTCTGCAAAGGCCAAGCTCTAGCATTTTTACGGTTTTCAATAGCTCAACATATGTTTAGAGCAATTTTGTTCACTCAACCTTCCTCATTCCAAATGAAAAAGGAGAGGTGTTTCACTGCACATAATAAAACAATATTGCTTTCATTACTTTATCTTTATGCAATGCTACATGCATAATTTTGCTCAAAAATCCTTTGGACCAAGTAAAGGTTTTGCAAGACCAGTGCTCCTATTGTTACCATCCATCAGCACTGCAGAGCAGCAGGCCCACACTGGCCTTGTTCACCACATCATTCCAAGGCAAGCACATAAACAGGATTTTCGTTGTGGTGGTGGTGATTTTGGAAGAGCAAAGACAAATTGTCTAATTTTAAAAGCTGTACAACTTCTAATTTTAAAAGCTGTACAACTGGCTTCTCTTCCAAATGAATGCAGAGCCTAAATTAAGATTACAGATTTGTATCTTGCAGCAACAAGCTCTGTGTGTGTGTGAATAGACATACGAACCTGTTTTCATACCCATCTGCTGAGCTGCTGTCACATAATACCAAAAAGCCTGACACTGCACTGTCACCACGTTATGAAACACAGATAAACTTTAATTACTACAAGACATCTTAATAATACAAACCCTGCATGTTATTTAAACTACAGCACTCCTAATACTGTCTCTTTATTCTCTTTCAGCAATACTGACAAAAATTTTGAAATGCCAATGCTAAGGAGAGAATGTCAGCTAGAAAATGATTTCTCTGTAATTCTAAATCTGTCTGAAGGAGCCCAAATGGATCATGTTGAGGTGTAGAGGAGGGGAGGGCAGAAAGATGAACTCCATAAAATATACTGCCAATTCTAGAAAGTTTATGCAATTTTCATTTACTGTTCTATTCTCTTAATTGCTGTTTTATGCATGCCTTCATAAATTCCTTTAGAAATAGCTACACTTAGAAAAACTGCTGAGCTATATACACTTTTTTTTTTTCTTTCTGAAGTCACTTAACACAGCTCACCTTCAGATTTTCATACTTATTTGGGCCTAGGAATACATGACAATCCTTTACACCACAAAACCATGCTTAAGATCAAGTAACTCACTGAGTTTGAATTCTGTGTTTTATTTCTAATAACGCCTCCTATCTTTTATTCTCTATGCTTCAAGTTCCTTCCCTATATAATAATAGCAATAATTATCATGCAACTTTGTGAAATGCTTTAGTGTCTACTGCTGAAGAATGTCATAAGGCAGGGACCAATGATCGCCACTGTGGCATCACAGGTGCATTTTAATGGCACAGAAGAGGTGGATTGCTGAGCACTGCATCTGAAAGAAATGCCTTGTAAGAGCCAACAGACCTTAAACTGTTGTAAGACTGATGGATTCTTCAAGAAGAATATGAATCTCTCCTACCTCACTCAAAGCTTTAGTCCAACAATCCTTATGCTCCTTTCCTACCAGTGTCCATCTCCCACAGAGCAGGTGTTTCCCAAACAGCAACATTAGTTGCTTCATTAAAGTTCAGAACAGCTAGAGAAAACACAAAACAATCAAGTCTCCAGCTCTCTTTTCCTAAAAAATCTCAGTATACCCTATCTTTGGTAAGGAGCTTCCTTTGTCCTGTCCACCATTCCCAAGTCCCATCCCAGAGTCAGGCAGCCTGTGGATGCCAACCAAACTAACGCAACTACATTCTCTGGATCACTATTTTTTAATATTTTCTTCCTTGGCTAGAGTTAAATCTTCCTTTTTGTGCTGCAAACTCAGGGAAAGTTGCTAGTTAGGGTTTCATAGTTCCACCTACACACGCTAAGTGCAAACAATTTCAACTTCTCCCTTTTGACCTTTCTTAGTTTCTGTAGGAAAAATTAACCTTCAGGTCTCTTTAGCAACAGCTAATATACTCTGACATTCTGTGCTTCCAAGATAATCCCTTCTTTGCCAATCAAGGCCATTTTCCAATTTTATCAGGTTTTCTTTTTATTCCTTGAGAATCATTGTGTTACACTGAAATTTGCCACCCTCCACTCCCTGCAGCACAAATTCTAGTCTTTACATTTAGCTCTAAATACGTTCAGTATTTACTACCTTGATTTTTTTCCTGCCAATAACTTCCCTGGCCTGCTCCTTTAAACGTTTTGAAAATTAAAAAAATGACATTTTCCTTTTTTTCCTTCATGGAAAAAAAATTAACTTTTTAATACTGACTCCCTTATTATTTTCTGCAACACCTTTATAAACTTACCCAAGGCTAAAGTGACATCATCTCACTTAACTCAGTTTTTTACTGTTCCTAGAGAAAGGATAACGAAATTTTATTATTAGAGCTGGTAGCAAAGGAGTTTGAGAGTGACGATAAAACGGGGTCAAACGTAGTTGACTATCAAATTTAGTATCTCCCTGACTCACATTCGGGAACCGAGATCCCTTAGGGTAACCTCAGGGATGTTATTACCTTGTTACAAGACTGTGTAAGACTCAGAACACAAACTGGCACCCACATTCCACCAGAGCAAGGGGCGAGGGCGGCGTCCCATTCCTCACCCCCTCCGGGTCAAGCGACAGTAGGTGCCCCACGTCCCCGCCGCTCCCGCGCCCGTCCCGACGGCGGGGCTGCGGTGCCCGGACGTGTCCCGTGTGCTTTGGAGCTGGCCAGGCTGGCCGTGTCCCTTGGGGCTGGCCGTGTCCCCTGTTGCTGGCCCGGGGCAGGCAGGCAGGGCGCTGGCGGAGCGGGATCGCCCGGGGCCCGCGGAACTCCCGGCCCGTCCCGTCGCCAGGAGACGGCGCGCGCGGCCCGAGCGCGGGCGGGCGGGAGGAGCCAGAGGAAGCGGATCCGGGATCGGAGGGCGCCGCGTGTCACTGCCGGCGCCGCTTCCGGCGCCATGGGCGTCCAGGGGCTCACGGGCTTCGTGGAGGAGCGCGGGGTGTTCTTCACCGAGCTGCGGGTGCGGGACACCAAGCTGGTCATCGACGGCAGCAGCCTCTACCACCGCCTCTGCTTCGCGCCCGACGCCGACTTCCGACGCGGCGGCGACTACGGCGCCTTCGCCGCGGCCGTGCGCGACTTCTTCGGCGTCCTGCGGGCCTGCGGCGTCGCGCCCTTCGTGGTGCTGGACGGCGGGCGCGGCGCCGAGGACAGGAAGCTGCCCACGCTGCGGGGCCGCGCCGCCGAGCAGCTGCGGGCGGCCCACGGGCTGTCCCGCGGCGCCGGCGGCTGCCTGGTGCCGCTGCTGACCCGCGAGGCCTTCGTGCAGGCGCTGGGCCGGCTCGGCGTGCCCTTCGTGCAGTGCTTCGCCGAGGCCGACCGCGAGATCGCCGGGCTGGCCAACCGCTGGGGCTGCCCCGTGCTCTCCCTCGACAGCGACTTCTTCGTGTTCGACCTGGCGGGCGGGTACTGCCCGCTGTCCCACTTCCAGTGGCAGAGCGTGCGCGCCGCCGCGGAGCCGCGGGGCTGCTACGTGCCCGCGCGCTGCTTCTCCGCCGACAGGTTCTGCCGGCACTTCGCGCCCCTGAGCAAGGCGCTGCTCCCGCTCTTTGCCGTCATGAACGGCAACGACTTCATCGGCCTGGAAGCGCTGGAGGCGTTCTTCAGCAAGGCCCGCCTGCCTCGGGGCTGCGCGGCGGGCAGGGGCGGGAGGCACCTACGCCTCCAGGGACTGCTGCACTGGCTGGCGCAGTTTACGGAGCCCGCCGAGGCCGTCGACAACGTGCTGAAATACCTCAAGAAACACCAGAGGGAAGAAATACGGGAGCTTCTTTGCACCTCAATGGAGGATTATGCTCCGTCTGACGTGAATCTTGAGGACTTCTTTCAGAAGGGGTGCTATGAGTGCGAGGCTGCCAGGAAAGCAGACGTACCACAGTGGGTATTCGATGCTTTGGCAAAAGGTAAGCTGGCCCCGTTCGTCATCAATGCCCTGATACTTAGAAGTACTTTCCTCCGCGTTCAGGTGGAGAACATGCAGAGACCCAGTGCTCATAGCGCAGCTTTGCCCATCCGACAAGTTATCTATGGACTGCTTCTGAGAGTATCTCACGGTGCTGAAGATGCTTCTCCAAGTAAGCAGACCAACGAGCTGCCCATTGTATGTGAATTTGACAGATGCCAAAAGACACTTAAAAAAACATTTGTTCAAGCAGCAAGCCTACCTTCAGATTTTTGTGATGATCGTTTTCCTTTGGACAAGTTAATGGAGGTAAATGGTTGTCACGACAGATCACAGTTAACGGTGTTTCACGAGTGACACAAAAATAGTTGGGACTCACCTTTGCCATCTGGCCACTAAATGTGATGTCTGAACTAAGCCACCTCAGTAAGTAACTACTTAACACAGAAGTATCTGTGATATTTAAGAAGTTACATCAGGTTGTCTTCATCTTCCTTCCTTCCTGCCCCCTCCAAGGGTACTAAGACAAATTATATGAGAAGCTGTAGTGTGTGTATATGCAACACTCCCTGCATTTTCCTTTGGAAGCCCTTATTTCATCCTATGTATTTTGTTACACTAATACTTGCTTTTTATGGGAAGGAATTCAGTTTCATGTAGTTTAGGAAAGTCTGATTTTGACACTACAAAACATAATTGGCATTTGATCAAGGTGTGGAACGTTTCAGAGCACTGTTCTGAAACAAAATCTGACCCGTGCCTTTTTACTAGAAGTCATTATTTCACGTGTGAATGTTGCAGCTGCCCAGCAGTTTTACCTGCCCCAAGTACGCTCCTGCTAACATGAACCTCTGATACTTGCCAGACAGAGCAGAATAGCACATGAAAAACACCTGAAAATCACAGGAAAGTTGTACTAGGTTACTTCCAGTCACCATTGTAGCACTTCTGTGTAAATTCTAATGATTGGGACTAACTCTTGCCATAATGGGAAGTAATCTCCCATTCTCGAAGTTGCATTACTGAGGTTTTGTATGCAGAAATTTCTGCAACGTCTAGAAATACAATCCATGTGTTTTAATTCTGCATTTTTAAGGCACATGCTCTATCCATTCTGGCGTTCGGAGTGACTGTTAACACATCTCTCTCTATGTGTGGGCAGTGCTGAATGTTTATCACTTGCTGCTGGCTCCTTTGTAAAGGAATCCAGTCTATCACTGCTACACACCCATTAAATGCTACAGAGAGCTATGGGTCCAAAGTACAGGTTACCTTATATAGGTTATTGGCACACGCCTTTTAAACAATACACAAACTTAAGAGTTTGAAAAATCAAGTTTCATGTTAAGAGACGTTAATGACACATCAGCCTTGGTTTGTGTGCTGTTTTTTAATGAATTTGAGCTTTGCTACTACAACAGTTTTCTTTAGTGAATATATGGGAACTATCAATTGAACAAAAGGTTAGAAGAAAAAATGTTGTTTAGCATTTAAAGTGCTCCAGACAAAACTGACTTCAGTTTCTCTTCTGCTGTGGGAATGTCTGCCTAAAAGTAGGCAGAACAATCCTAATCAAGGTTTACAAAACACTCAGATTGCAGCTGAACAGCCTGTTGCAATTCTGCATGCATAATTACTTATTAGTTACTTTTGTCTTTCCACCTGACGTTTAACTGTGGTGTTTTTAAAATTTTAGGTAGTATTTAAATTTTTTTAAAATTTCCTGTTCAGAATATCTGTGAAACTTAAATAATTTTTTTATCAAAAACCTAAAGCAGTAACTAATTTAACCAGGAAGTTATTGGCCTTTTAGAAGTTGCTCACGACAAGTCTCTTACCTCCAATTTTAAAATTTATTTTCAGGTGCCCTTGTCATGCCGTCAGATGCTTTTGCTGGAGACTCTGGGAGTGAAAATGAGTTTCCTAGAACCTATCCCAAGTCATTTACAGCTCGCTGTTGCTGTGACTTGTTACTGGATACGTTGTTCAGAACCAAAAGTTAAACTGAACCAATTAAAGGCTCTGCTTCTAATGATAGTTTCTGGAGAACTGCAGAGGATAACCGATGATCCAGGTATGTCTCCAAAGAATACAATTTTAGGTGTTCAGCTTCTATAAAAATCCAGGCCGTAATTCATTTTCCCACACATATTGGGAGTTGTCCAAATTTAGAGGAATTAGTCTTGATTTACACTATATCCTGAGGTGTCACATTCTTTGCATTGATATGCACAAAGAAGAAGTGGTAACCATCAATTTAACATTTTATATAGGTAAAATAGTACCACACTGTAAAACATTAATTTGCATTTGTAAGTACTTTAGGATCAAAACATTAATTCAGATATAAAAGTTACAAAAAATAAGCTTAACATACTCAGGCATCAAAAAACTACTGTTGAAGCATTCCAATACTTTTTTTGCTTTTGAGGTTTTCTAAAATCATTTGTACTTAAAAATGCTGAGTTGCTTTTTCTGCCTATGCATTGCAAATTTGAAAGTATTCAATAATCACAGAAATTACTTCACTAATATTTATACCTGTTAGGGTTATGGACATTTCCTCCAGGAGTCCTTCATTTGATGGCAAAGACGATGCATGCCAGGGTTATGCAGTTTCTTTAGGTTCTGGTTTATTCTGGTTTATAGAAACCAGACTGACATGGTTTTCACGTGGGTTGTAGTGAGATGGCTTCTTTGGATTTGATCACACAGAATCAATTAGGTCGGAAAACACCTCTGAGATCACCGAGTCCAACCCATGACTGAACAAAAACCACCGTGTCAACCAGACCATGGCACCGAGGGCCACGTCCAGTCTTGCCTTAAACACCTCCAGGGATGGTGACTCCACCACATCCTTGGCAGCCCATTCCAGTGTCTTAATTATCCTTTCTGTGAGGAAATTCCTCCTGATGTCCAACCTAAACCTCCCCTGATGCAACTTAAGGCCATTTCTCCTTGCCCTATTGATTGTTACCTGGGAGAAGAGACCACCCCACCTGGCTACCCTCCTTTCACCCTGCTTTTGTACTCTTCACAGCAGAACATTTATTTCTAAGTTACTGTTTTTTATTTATAACCTAGATCCCACAGTTTTACCTGCTGAAGATGACAGCATTGCATATAACGAATTTCTAAAATGGAAGGAAAAGAAATTGCAAAATAACGACTTTGATTTAGATGCTTCACACAGTTTTTGCCAGTGGCAGTGCTGTCTTCAGATGGGATTCTATCTCAACCAGCTACTTGGTACTCCTCTCTCTGAGCCAGACCTAAGTAGGTAAGGTTGTTCCAGAGATCTGCTTTCCACACAAGCCCCTGATGGAATGTGTTAACATGTTTCATTTTCTCTGCCAAACTCTTTTGGCCAATAGTTACAGTAGAACTCCCTTCTTTAAAGTATTTATAAAGAAAAATACTCTTAGCATAGGAGTTGACTGTTGGATACTGTATGTTTTTGTGATCAAGCAACGTGGTTCTGTACCTGTCCTGTTGAGGTGCAATTCTAAATGCAGATTCTCTCCTTCCTTTGAGCAGGCTTTACACTGGGACACTTGTGCACAGACTGTATCAAGAGCTTAAATCAGCACCTTCGGTGGAAAACCTCTTTGTCTTTTCTCCAAAAATGGCTCAGCTTTATCTGGTTTTGTTAAATACAGTGGAATCAATGGTATCTCCAGACTTCTTTCAGAAGATGACCAAGACCAGATCAGAGTCCTGCAAAAAGAGGAAAGCATCTAATAAGAAAAAAGCAGCCATCCGATGTACTGTGCCAGAAACTCAGCATTTATGCAATGTTAATAGGTTTGCATCACTGGAAGTAGATGACTGAAAGCATTATTCTTGGAATAATTTCTAATGCCATGCTGATGAAACAAGTAACATTAAAATATGTGACTATTGGAATTTGCTCAACTGTTTTCACAAAAGTTCTTTACCAAAAAACCTTGCTTCAGGGGATTTTTTTAAATTTACCTTTTTGTAACTAACATTTATATAAAAGAAATGCTGTCTAAAAGTTGTGTCGTTTTGGTTTTTTTTTAAGGGTATCAGTCTCATTGAAAATGAGAGCAAAGTTGTTTAGCATTTCAAAGAAGGACTACTTTAGAGGAATTCTTTTCCTGAACATTTATGGTTGGTTTTGCCTCATCTACCTGAATACTTCACTTACAAAAAAATCAAACTTTAGAGTTTGTGTTTGAGGAACACAGTGGTCACAGTCTAACAGTTGAGATTAAATAGAAATTTACAGGTTTATAAATATTGTAAAATCAGTCATTACTGGTGGAGTACTTTTACTTGCAGGGAGAGGTAGCTTTGCTCAGTGACAACTGAGTAAGTTGTGCTTGCAGTAGTACAGGTTATGTCAATACTCAGGGAGAAACTTCAGATTTTATTTCTCCCCCTTCCCCCTGTGATGTGTATAAAGAAAGCATTACGTGCACACACAAAGCTGTTACATGGAAAGAAATTTCTACAGGTTTGCTAATTCTCAGTAGTTGTCACAGTAATTGTGTACAATCCTCTGCTATTAAGCTGTTGTCATTCTTTTTCTAATAGTATGTTAAAAACCAGACCTGTTTTGACTTCCCCTATGTACTAATTACTCGACAAACCCTTGCTATCACCACGGTAATACTGAAAACCAATTTAAAATTTTGTTTTTAAATCTTACATCATATATTTCTCAGTGCTTTGCATCAGCAAACCTTCCAGCATAATTAGTTAATTTATATAAATGCTTTTCTTATGAAGCTATTGGTTTTCCCTATGTAAAACATAGTTACATTTGGGTTTTCTCAAGGATCTACATACCTTTTCTTGCATTTAGGAAGATATAATTTCCACCTCTAATCACCAAAGTTTTGCCCATAACTTACCAGAATTCAAGCGTGATTCCTGCATTATGTGCTCAAGTTCTCAGTTCTGCTTATAGTCCCTCTTATTTCTGTTCCCATGGAAGCAACTCACTGTATTTTAGGATTTAGAGGAAAGATGTCCTATACCATACAGGTGAGTGCTGATACTGTACAAATACAGTCAACGAGAAAATAACAGATCTGTAAGCTGTTACATTAAAACTAATTTTGAGATACAGCCTGTCATAGCAAGATGTAACTTTTTTTCCAGTACAAAAGCTGCTATTTACTGAACTACCAGCAGCTGGCACCCAACCACACCACAAGCCAGAGTCTCACAACCCATTTCTCTATAGGTTTCTATGTACAGCAGCCTAGAGCATCACATTTCCATCAGATGACTTTTATTTAAAAATTCAAAATGGTCAAAGTTACTGATTTTGACTAACGAAAACTGAAATTCTTATTTGTCCAAATCATCCTCTTCTCCATTATGATCTCATATGTTTTATTTTACCAAGCTTGTAATTTCTCTGTAATTCTTAATCATCAGAAGTAGTCACATGCAAAATAAATCGTAAATACAGGTGTGTTTGATTTCACTTCGTTAGTGCTGGTGAGAAGAGAGATCTTCATGTACTCTGAATCCCACATCAGAAAACTGACAGACATCATAAAATTTCTTGACACTTGATAAGAAGTCGTATTTTTAATTAGATAGTTCAGAAGACTGGAATAAGGTCAAATATTCCACTTTGGGATAAAAGCAGTGCTATGACCACATGGCAGTTTGAGAATACCTTTGGGAAAGCAGACTGAATTATTAAGAATTACTATAGTGGAAATATGTTCTCAGTGAAGAATTCAGCTGTTCTTTATTGCTGAGGAAATTATACAAGCTCATTGCAAAACCCAGTCTTGTAGGCTGAAGAAAATAATTACTGATTCTAGAGTTACCATGCAGAATTTGAAGTGTTAGTTTTCCTCTCTGATTCATTATAGGTCTTCCATCCTCTTTGTAGGAAAATTAAAGGGCCTTTACTTATTAAAACCAATATTGTCTATTCCATGTTTCAGTAGAAGTAAGTAAATTCCTCAGTTGTTTCTTATTTCCACCCCATAAGAAATGCCTCTTAATTTTTATGGGAAGTTCCCACTATTCAACTGCTTCAACTGCTCTGGAAAAAATCTCAAACCTGATATAAAGTGATAATGAATCACAAGAGCAGCCAAAATAATGGCAATGGAATTTACTCCAGGCATTTTTAATATCTAATGACATTGAACTAGATTTATTACTTGGTTGGTATTTTGCCTTGCATTGGAAAACTCAGCACCAAAACTTCTGGCAAATTTAAGTGAACTACATTCAACTAAGCCCACCCTGCAATAAGGCAAAATTGTCCTTAAGAGACTGAAATTTGTCTAGAATGACATACCTTATTCAGAAAGTGGGACTTGTGCTGGGGAAGGGGCACTAACTTGGCAATGACACTTCCACGCTAAGACAACAATTTAGCATTCATCTATACCTACCTAGATTTCTGGGACTCCAAGACCAAGAGCAGAGCACAAAGCAGTCAAATCCCATGGAAGAGTATCAACCACAAGTTAAGACTTAAAAGGTATAGTTGCTGTCCCTTCCCAAAAATCAGTTTGAGATTCTTCTTCAGCATGCACTGTCAGCTCTTACTGTCTTTATTAATGAATATTAATGATTTTATTAATTTCATTAATAACGTATTAATTTTATTAATTAAGTCTTCTGCAATTGTACTGAAATACTACAATACTGAACACACTACAACTACAGCCCCACTTGCCAAAGACAGTAATTGTTCAACAACTGTCAAATTTATCCAACTTCTGAAATGCAGAACTGCTGTAAGAAAGAAACTTTTGTTTGAAGACACGAGAGCATTTCTGTAAGGGGTAATGTTGTTCAGGCCCTCCCAGCTCAGTGGTAACAACCCCAGGAAGAGATGAGGGCCAAGTGCTATAGGATCTTTGTCTTTACATAATCACATCTCCAGCACAGGTATTATGGGTATATTGAGGGTCAGAAGAGCCATGGATGAACTACATATATATTATATATACCAGGAAAAATTGTTTTTTTTTAATGAACAGGAAGGAAGAAAGAAGGAAAATGAAGCTTCTTTGAGAGAGGGATGGGTTTTTTTTACCCAGTGAGGATTATTCCATTAATTTTCTAATTCAGTAACTACATAATTTCCATAACTACTGTCTTTTAATCACTCAAGTGATCTAACAGTCATAAGCTAAAGTAAATGTGGAATTCAAGACATGAAACCAATCTGCAATTGTATCAAAACAAGCTCGTCCACTTGATGTAAATGTCAGTTTCTTTTAAAACAAAGAGACGACACACTTGTAAGAAAAGCAAACATTTACTTCAAATTGCAGTATAGGCTTTTCAATCACAGAAAAAGAAAAGAAAAACAGTGATCTGACAGCGGTCACATCCTGTGCAAAAAGAAACAAACTTGGGATACAAAAAAACTGTAGCACAAGGTACTTGAGCCGCTTACACATTGCAGGATAAAGGAAATAAATACAGTAGCTAGAATATGGCACTCTTGTGACAGACTCTAAACCCAGTGGAATGCCTCTGAAATATTTTTATCCTTGTATTAGTAGCAAAGTCCCACCACCATAAAAGTAGAATAGTACAATGCTTTAAATAAAAACAAACTAAAATATTTATATCTAAGAGAAGGATTTTACACAGTTATATCTTTTAAGTGCAGAAAATGGGACTTGGGCTTAGATCTTTCTTTAAATTAACCCCTGCCCCCTCCCCCCCATAATACCATTCAATCTTAAAAGTAAATTTATGTTTGAGGAAAAGTGTTACCAAAGTTGCATAATTTGATTTGTTGCTTCCACAGTTGGAAGTTAAATTCTAAACAGTCTTGAAACATGAAGTTCGTCATTAGCCAGTGAAACAAAGGACTTGTCAAAAGCCCTCAGGATTTCTTTATCCTCCAGATATTGTTTTGCTTGCTCCAACATCTTTAGACAGCAATCGCTAAGTTTGCAAACACAAGAATGCAATATGCATCATACATCAAGAAAAGACGAAGTTGATGAAGAAGAACTTCCACGTTTCTGGATCTTTTCCTTGCTTCTTTCAAACTTCTTTATTAGCTCAGTCACTATGCACACAGAGGAAGTGAGTCCCAGAAGAAACAGTAAATCTGGAAGAGAAAATTAGTCTTCTTTAAAATTGCTATTTAAGGCTGAGGGGAGACTTTAAAAAGAACAAGACTTACAAGACTTCCAAATTTTCTCCCAATCATTGGGAAAGTTCAGGAGAAATGAAGCAAGATTCAAATTTTTGCAGGCCCAGAAGATTAACATGTATGGTTTATGCACAAATCATAACTACACACAAGATACTAAAAAGCTTTTAAAGTATTTCATGAATTTATTTTCAGCAACATAACTAACTTAATTCTGAAAAGAGAATATAAGCATAATGAGAAATTATGCCACAATAAAGACATGTATTTCATTACAATCATTTAATTCCAGAAAACCACAAAGGTAATAAATCTAAGTGTTAATGAAGCCAACAGCATTATGTATCTATAGCTTTTTAAAATCCTTCTGTTTATTTACCCTGTGATAAATGCAATCAATATTCAAGGATCAGGATTTCTAAATAAGGTGTTTATATTTAGAGAAATCTTGTGAAACAGTTAAATTAATAGTGCATAGAAACCTACACAGTCAATAATTTTGCCTGCAACAAAATTTATATTAAAAATTCCCAAATAAATAAGCAGCTTTACAAAAATTTAAAAACACACTGATCAGTTATGTGCCATATGGATTTAAATCATAGTTCCCAAAGTAAGCATCTAGAACAATTCAAAAAACTAAAAACGAAATCAATGAAACAAATAAAACCCCCCAAAAAACCCTATCCACAAAACAAAAAGTATCAGCAGGTTTTGTATTCCTGTTCTATGCAAATAGCCAGAAAGTGCTCTTAGAGAAATTTATACCAAATTTATAAATTAATCCTTAATGCACAGTTTTGAAAAAGGAACTGTTCTTACCCAATACACTCAGGCTCTCTGTTTGGAAAACCTTCTGAAGTGGAGGAAAGTAAATGACCAATAACTGCCCC